GGCGCTCAGGGCCTCCCCCAGGAGGAGTCCACTTGGCCATGAGTGAAGAAGAGGTCCCCACACCAGGGGGCAGGTGACAAGGCAGCTCCACCCTAGAACCTGCTGCAGCGTACACCGTCAAAGGAGCCAGGGGCTCTAGACCTGGAGGAAACAGGAGAGCCAAGATCAATGCCCAGGGGTGGGTATGCAGTGGGACAGAGGGCGGGAACGTGAGGAAGGAAGGCAGAGGGTGATGGAGGTACTTGGGTGTACAAAGAGACAGAACAAAGCAGAGGGACCAGGGAAACTGGAAAACCCATACTGTGCAGAAGGATGGAGAGCCAAGGGAAAAACTGCAGTGAGAGACGACAGCGGAAGACTCCCACATCATCGGAAAGGGTTTGGACACTGAGACACGGAGCAGAGAACCTGCTTTTGGGGGCCCATGAGTCAGGCGAAGTGGGGGGCAGGAAGGAGTTGTGGTCAAGAGTCAAGACAGCTTGGGAGAGTTACCCAGAACCTTGAGGTTGTATGTAATGGAGACATTGAAGCCATCTCTGTAGGTGAGGACACAGCGCCAGATCCCAGAGTCCAGGGGACGGACTTGGGGCAGAAAGAGGAAACTTTCAGCTAAGTAGCGATGGGAGGACTTGTGGACAGGAACTCGGCTCTGGCCCTGGAACCAGTGCACTGAGACTGGGCGATCAGGGCGACTGAAGGAGCAGTTCAAAACGACCCAGTCAGATGGCCTGAGGGGTCCTGGCGGATAGGCGGTCACTGTGCGAAATTAAAAAAGGACCAGTCAGTCGACTAGATGAAAGCACTTTCTCAACACAGCCAGCCAAACTAAGCTGAAAACTCAGGGAAACGGGGACGTTGTGTTCGGATTCTCCGTACAGCCTCCCATTCCAACCCCCAACTTGAAACCTGGGTTTGCTTAACAAGAGACCTGGGACTCCCCTCCGCGGCCTCCTGCCACCGCTTTACTTGGCCTGTTCTTTGGGCAGACCTTGCCTGAGGATGAGCCACGGATGTCTTCAATGAATCACTCTAGACCCCCCCCCCCGAAGAAGAGGTGCTGCCCCACCTCTACCTCCAACGTGGAGGGCGCTCCCGCTGTGGGTGGGGGGAAGGGAACTGAGGTGTGTGATACAATTTCTCCGTAGCCCCCTCAGCCCCGCCTAGAGGCATGCATTTCAGAGGGGCACGTTCCACCCTGCCATCAAGCGGCCACCCCTTCTCGAACACTTCGGGAGGCCCTCAGGCAGAGTCTAAAGCGCCGCCCTTGCCGCGGCTCTTCCTGTCTCGGGGTGACAGGGACCTGCTTCCCAGCCCTGCTCCCTTTGTCCCGCCCCACCTACTCGAGGCCTGGCCGACGCGCAGGCGGAGATGGCAGGAGAGGGTGCGGTCCGGGAGGCGCACCACGGCGTGGTACCCGCCAGCGTCGGCGCGCAGGGCTGGGCGCAGCCACAGCGAGAAGTCGCCGCGCTGGAGGCCGCGCTCCTCCAGCTGCACGCGGGGTTGCATGGGCTGCCTCCCGCTGCGCAGGCCTCCAGGAGCCACGCTCAGGATCGTGTAGGGATGATGGGGTGCGGGCCTCCCAGGCGAGGGCATCCCCTTGAGGTCAAAGGCAGGGGTGGGAGCGGGTTGGCCACTGTCGCGGGGAGGGAGAAAAGGCTTGAGAAATTCCGGGGCAGTTTGAAAAAGCCATAAAGAAGATGCACTCCAAACACACTCTGGGGATAAAGCAACATGCCTAGGAGAGCGCTTGACCCTTAGCGGCCGCCCGCCACCCCCCAACCACCCCTGTCCCCGCTCCCATCTGCTACTGGAGATGTGGCCGACTAGGGACCTCAGAGGGACTCTCAGAGGTGACAATAATGGCTGGGATGGGCTTTTTTCAGAATGCCATTAGAACCAGATTGGGAGGTTCTGTCGCCCAACTTTGGGGTGCATACCCTTCTGGCTGATGTTGCCAAGTAACCCCTGATCTTCGCAGAAAGCTGAGATTCCTGTGGAGGAGCTGAGGGCTGCAGGGAAGCTGGACAGGCGTGCCCTCCTGGGCCCACACCACCGAGTCCTCTCTTCCAGGCTCTGAAGCCACGACTATGGAGCAAGAGAGGCCAAGGGCTGTGAGCCAAGAGATTGGAAAATAGAGAAAGGACTTGGCGTTCCCGAGAGAGAAAAATCATTCCTCCCTGTCAGGGGAGACTGAGGCGGGGGCTTTGGGGTTGGAAGGACTGCCCTTTAAAAAGGCATTAGACACCACCACAAAGCTAGAGAGGCGGGCCATAATGGTCCCTGCTGGCTTCTCCCGAGCCCCCCTCTTACCTGGAGCTTCCCAGAGCAGCCGCAGAAGCAACAGGCCTCGGAGCAGAGCCTCCCTCATCTCCTCTATGGCCGGGGCCTCCCTAGCCCTCCAAGGGAGGTCAGAAAGGGGTCCTGGGAGGAAAAAAGAGAAGTTCTACAAGGAGGGAGGAGAGGCAGAGAGAAAGAATGTAGGGTGAACCAGACCACGGGGGAGGGGGGTCGGGAGAGGGGGCAGGAGGGCCAATGCAATGGCCAGAGACCAAAGACCAAAGAAAGGTGGCTGGATGAGGGGCAAGCGGGGGACACACCCCTGGGCCAGCGCAGGGCTGGGGCAGAAAGCAGTGGAGGCAAGGCCACCTCCGTGAGCTGGGATGCTGATCTGCTCCTCTGGCCCCAGTCCTTCCCCACTTCCCCTCCCCACTGCCCGCCCCCCAGCCAGGGCTCGGGGTTTCGATTCGCAGTGGAAAGAGTGAGGGGGCTGATTCCCAGCAGCAGAGCCCTCCGGCTCTGTTATGGCACTCCCCTTGTTTACTTCCTCAGACCGGGTCTCCCCGCCACCCCCTCTGTCCTCTCTCTCTCTCTCTGTCTCTCTCTGTCTCTCTCTCTCTCCTAGAACTACAGCTGTATCTCCAAGCTGCCTCCTATGTCCCGACAGTCACACTTCTTTCTTCCCGACAGGCTCTTTCCCATTAACTTCCCAAGAACTTTGTTGCCAGCCCCGGAGCTGTTCAGGATCTCCTGGACAGGCACACAGGAAGTATTACCATACCACAAGTTAGCAGATCCGAGGAAGGGCTTGGTGGCAGAGCACAGTGGCTACAAGGTGTCAATCTTCATTCTCTGCTACTTATGGTATTATACATTTTTCCATAACGCAACTTGTGAAAACGCAGACGAGGAAGCTGAGGGTCACAGGCATTGACTTGCCTACGTTAGGGGTCATGAAGGCATGCCGCGGTCCTGACCCTGTTTGCATTATAGAGTGACTTTTCATCTTCTAGGAAGAGGGAAACAACGGGATATTTGCTTTAAAGATTTATTTCTATGTATGTGTCTGTGCACCTGAATTCTGCCTGTGTATGAATGAATGCCCAGAGGCCTGGAGGGTGTCACATTCCTTGGAACGGCAGTTACAGGTGGCTTGTGGGCTGCCCAATCTGGATGCAGGTCTTCTGGAAGAACAGCTAGTACCAACAACTGCTGGGGTCATCAGATAGTTATCTCTCCAGCCCTGCGGACTGTGGTGATATTTTGTGTATGCTCTAACAAATAAAGCTTGCCTGAAGATCAGAAGGCAAAGCCAGCCACTAGTTAGCCGTAGAGGCCATGCAGTGGTGGCATGTACTTATGGTGGTGGTGGGATTCTTATGCCTTTGCTCCCAGTATTTGGAAGGCACACACGCCTTTAATCCCAGCACTAGGGAGGTTGAGACAGGAAGTGATATGGCTGGGCAGAGAAAAGGAATATAAGGCAGGAGGAGACAGGAGCTTTTTTTCCCAGTTGAGGAGCTGGTGAGGTTAGAGGTGGCCACGTTTGTTCCTTTGTCTCTGATCTTTCAGCATTTACCCCAATATCTAGCTCTGGGTTTTTATTATGAAGACCAATTAAGATTTGTGCTACAAGCCAGGCGGTGGTGGCGCACGCCTTTAATCCCAGCACTCGGGAGGCAGAGCCAGGAGGATCTCTGTGAGTTCGAGGCCAGCCCGGGCTACCAAGTGAGTTCCAGGAAAGGCGTAAAGCTACACAGAGAAACCCTGTCTCGGGAAAAAAAAAAAAAATTGTGCTACAGACAACAGGATACTTCACCATCTTCAAAGTCCCCTCACCTAAAGATTCTGTACTGAAAAAAATGAAGGGAAGGGTTTATGGAGACGGAATAATGCAGAAATCTTGTAGCAGAGCAAACTCAAGAAAAACTGAGGAGTCAGGAATGCTGTTACTTAACTGTATGTAATCCCAGATTTTGGAAGGTGGGAGTAGGCTGTGAATTTCAAGCTTGCTTGGGCTACCTCGTGAATTCAGGGTCATTGTGGGCTACAAGGTTTGCCCTGTGTGACCGAAGCCGCCACCACCACCACCGCCAAAAGACCATTATCCCAGCACTTGGAAGTCAGAGGCAGGCAGTTCTCTGTGAATGGAGTCAGCCAGGGTTGCACAGTGAGACCATCTGAAAACAGTGGAAACTGAGGCAGATGGAATGGAGGACTCTTGACAACCCTGGCTCCCCAGCTCTGCCCAGCTGACGCGTGACAGGGAGACAGACCTGAGAGGTAAGTAACTCTGGAGTCCTCCCCTGCTTGACTTAAAGAGGACCCTGCTTCCCACATGTCAGAACGTGTCCAGGCTTGGTAGTTCTCTTTCCAAACCCTAGGTGAGACCCAAGCCTACCCTACCAGCCTCTTCCACTTCGGGGCGGGACTTCCTGTTTCTAGAGCTGTTTCTATCTGCCTGGTTCAGCACAAAGGAGCTGGTAGCTTTCCACTGGGCTCAGCAGAGTCTAGATCTTGTGTGGGTTAACATAGAGTACACTGCTGAGGTGAACATCCCCAGGAACCCAAAACAGGTCATAAGTCACACCCAGAGGAAGACCTTGGGCTCCCAGGCCACCCCTGGAGGGCTGGTCGTGTCTTCTATCATTTGGGTATGAGGTCAGCCACCCCTTCTCTGTCCTTTCAGGCACTGAGTGGACTCTGGGAAATCAGGAGACAGGTTAAAAACAGAAGCGCGACCGTTTCTTTATTAAATTATACAAAAAGGGGAGGGGGGCAGCTTCGGGGCTTGGCCCCAACCCCGGCCCCACCCCGGCCTGGCGCTGTCTGAGGAGGGAATCTGAGGGAGACCCAGGGATCAGGCAGGAGAGAAGGGCAGGCTGAGAGGCTGGGGGTGCCGAGGGTAAGGAGAGGCTTTGCAAGGACAGATGGGATGGTGAGGGGAAGTGAAGGACAAGGAATGCTAGAGGACCAGTGAGGGCCGGCTGGGGAGCTCAGGTGAGGCGGCGGATCGGGAGCTGGAAGGATGGCAGTGAGGGTGGAGGAGCAGTGTCTGGAGATGGAAATGAGAGGCTGGGTGGAAGGGCGAGGGTCACAGCTCTGGGGCAGGGCCAGAGCAGGGAGCCAGGAGAAGCGGGGCTGTACTTGTGTGTTCCTGCCCCACCTCCAGGACCTGAGGGGCCTCCCGTCCCCAAGCCCACTGGCAGGGGCTCATGCCGATGCCCCATTTTCTGTCTTCTGCCTCTTGGGATCTGCTTCATCCTGTGGAAAGGAGAAGAGTTGAGGGGAGCTGTACAAAGGAGGCCTCCCCTGTGCCTGCTGGCCCTGCTCTGCCCGTGCCTGGGCCACCACAAGGACCTGGGTCCAAATCCAAAGGGCACCCAGCCCCTGCTCTAGTCTTGACAGCCCCTCACGTCCCCACCCGGTCAGACCTCCTCTTCAGCAGCTCTCTTCCGCACTGGGCCTTCATCCTCCTCCTCCTCCTCTTCCTCATCTGAGGAGCCAGAAACAAGTCATTGGGGCAGGGTGGGGGGCTCCGGGCACAGACCCACAGCCGCCCTGTGGTTACCCTCAGCCCGGCTGCTGGCCTTCAACTGCTCCCCAAAGTCTGCTCCTTTGAGCCTCAACTCTTCCAGCCCAGCCTTCCCTGCCCCTCCCTACCTTCTTCATCTCCTTCATCATCATCCTCTCCATCCTCGGCAGTTTCTTCTTCTTCTTCCTCAGCTCCATTCTCCTCCTCCTGTGGGGACCAAGGCAGGGAGCGAGCGCTGTCAGGCTGGCTGTGTTACCACTCACTGGGCGATGAAAGGACTCGGGGTAGGGAAGGAATGGGGGGGCAGCCAGGAGAGAGGCAGGACCCCAACATCCCCAGGAAGGTAAGAAGAGGGGGAAGGATGTTGGGGCAGAGCGGGGCCATCTCCACACCTCCACTACTTCTTTCTTTCGTTCTTTCCGGCCAGCCTTCTCCTCCACTTTCTCCTTCTTCTCCTTCAGGTCCTGCAAGGCAGAAGGTCACCTTTCTCTCAGCACTAATGATGCACAGGCCCTGGAGGCCCCCAGCCCGGTTCTCCAAGCCTGCAGCTAGGTCCAAGGTGCTGAGAGAAGGTGGCCACAGTTTAAGGAGCAACAGACATCCTCGGGTCCTCCGAATTTGGGCCGTAATTGGCTGATCCCAGAGACTTTCTTCCTCAAGACCCAGGGGGAGTGGGAAAGTAATGAGAAAGGGAAAGCAGTCGCTGAGTATCCCACACCACCGAGTTCTTCCACCCCCCCCCCGCCCCCCCCCAGCTTAAGAGTTCAGCTCCACAAAGCAAATCCCCCATCTGCTGGCAGCCTCGATGCCCCACCCCCTCTCACCCTCTCTGCCTGCCCTGCTCTGCCTTTTGTCTACCTCAGGGGCCTTTGCCTAAGTACTCTCTCCCCTGGGCATCCCTCCCCGGCGTCCCCGTCAGCTCCTAAGGCCTTTGTTTCCTGTCTGTGTCTTCCTAATCCTCCTGCTCCGACTTGACTTGGCCCAACAGCATGGGACTACGGAAGATCACCCTAGCCTACTGTATTCCCACAGCGGTGCCTATCCCCCATCGAAACAGTTTGGTACCCCCTCCTCTCCACCTTCACACATATGCCCCGGGACGGCAGAAGCGGAGACGTGGCCATTTTCAGTGGAAATAAAGGGGAAGTCCGGTAAAGGAAATAACTCAGAAGGCAACGTCGAAATTCACAACAAATAAAGTCTGGGCCTGGATGGGAGGGTGGGAGTTACCTGTCCAGAGTCCCCTCCCACCAGACTGTCCCTCCCCTCCCCTCCCCTCCCCTCCAAGATGCCAGCAGGTGCTGCAAGTCCCATCCTGGGGAGGGAGATGCTCCTGTGGGTAAGCCGGGCTGGACAAACCAGCCTTCCTGCCCCATGCAGATTCTACTTTTCTCCCTATCATACTCCTTGGCAGGTGCCACGTTCTACGATCTTATCTAAGGTTAGTATGCAACTCTAGTGTGCATGATCCCAAGTGGGTCGGAGTTTTCCTAAGTAGATCACCCCAGCACGATGTGTCCTTTCTAGAACAAGTCTAGGGTAGAGGAGGGGCCTGGTGCCAAACGACTGGCCTGAGGACACGGGCCGCTCCTCTCCCGGTAGGAGAGCAGAGTGCAAGGGCACCTGACCCTCTAGTTCCGGGCAGGTTTCTTCTGCACTCTGCTTGGTCGTCACTGCTGTCACATGGTGGGTCTGGCGCTGGCTCCTACCACCAGGTGAGCTTTGCCTTACATCCTGCGCCAGGCAGGGACTAACTCAGCTTCGCTTGGGTCAGGCCCTGGCCCGAGTTTCTCATCGCGGTTGATGGAGGGGTGAGGGGAAGGGAGGGCGAATACCAGAGACCAAAGTCCGCAGGGCTGGCCCCCCTCCTCCTGGGTCCTGTCCTTCTGGTCACTGTCCTTCCATGATCTTTTCCAGGAGGGTATGTGACCTGCCCCCAGCGGTAAGCTGCCCTCTGGCCTCGACACGGGTACACAAGCTCATCCAGGCTAACACCAACTCACACATCTACCGGGGAGCGCCCACGCGCTCTAGAGACACATGGCTCAATGTTTGGGCATTCTGGCACACTCTCACAGGGGCACTGTGGGGCCACTCGGCGCTCACAAAGCGGCAACATGCCTCCGGAACATCTCAGTCTCCACATGCACACATGTAACTGACACGGGCAGTCCCACACACTCGCTGGATCTCAGACATACAAAGACGCCTACTCAGTGAAGTCACATGCCGCCGCACAACCCACCGGAGGGCCACACAGGCGCACCTTGTCAGATCTCACATGTCCCCTCTCCCACTGCCTTTCATGCTATCAGATTCCCCCCTTCCACTCCAGCCTCCGGAACTATACTGCCCTCCCCCCTAAAAAAAGACTGGGCTCCCAGCCCCCAAGCCTGGCCGCATTAATTTCCCTAAGCGACACTCGGCAGTTTCCCTGGGGAAATTAGGAGGGAGGCTGGAAAAGAGACAAGGGCAAAGGGATGAGGCCAGGAAGGCAGCTGACGTGCAAAGCTGAGTGCAAAGACAGCTTGACGTATGGTCAGGCGATGCCGAGCTTCGGCTTTTTCGAAGGCAATTCTCTCCACCTTTCTGATTTTTTTTTTAGGAATTCGACATGAGGAGAAACGATAAAGAGAAAACCGAAAGTCGGTGGTGGAGGGAGAACGGATGAGGATGGGCAGAAAAGAGGGTGCAGGAGAGGCGCAGCCCTCCGGGGACGGGCACAGACGGCCGGGCCGCGAGGGGAGGGGCCGAGGAGCAGCCTCCCCGGAGAGTCCTGTTTACACTTGAGGATCGCAAACCGCTTAGCAGAGGAAAGGTGAGGTCATAGTGGAAAGGGACCTGGAGCCGCGGCACGGACACCCGGCCCGGGAGGCGAGACGCGCCGCCCTCCG